CACGTCTGTCACCGTTGGTACTAAGGTACCCAGTCAGTGTCCTCTTCCCCCATCTCTGTAGGGACCTGATTGCTCTATGGGTATGTCTACACTACCACCCTAGTTCGAACTAGGGTGGTAGTGTAGACATACCCATAGAGCAATCAGGTCCCTACAGAGATGGGGGAAGAGGACACTGACTGGGTACCTTAGTACCAACGGTGACAGACGTGGAGCAGCTGTGCTGTAACACTGTATGCGGTCACTGGAATGGTTACTGTATGAATATATTGGTTTTGTTAAATAATATGCTGTAATATTCCGAACTACCGGTACACCTCGTTCCACGAGGAGTAACGGTAGTTCGGAATAGGAAGCCTAATCCGAACTACCTAGTTTGTGCCGCGTGTAGCCGCGGGCACGGCGTCCGAACTAGCGGACATTTAAAAATGGCAACGCCCGGCAATATGCAAATGAAGCCCGGGAAATTCAAATACCGGGCTTCATTTGCAACTCCAGTTGCCTACATTAACCACCCTAGTTCGAACTAGGGTGGTAGTGTAGACATACCCTATGATACTTAGCGCCTTGCAGGTAAGGTTGCCAGGTGTCTGGCTTTCAACAGGAATGTTGGGTTAGAAAGGGTCCCTGGTAGATCTGGTCAGCACAGCTGACCAGGTCACTCAGTCTGGTTGGCTGCAATGGGGAAGGCAGTCCCTGTACCCAGTAGTTCCATATGGCTCCTGAGAAGTGACTGCATGTCCCGCTGGCTCATAGGTTGAGAGGTGGCCATATGGGTTCCAAGTGCTGCCTTCTGCCTGCACATGCCACCTAAAGTGCCAGCTCTACACTCCCATTATCTAGGAATGCCAAAGGAATTGTGGATCTGGTGCTTGAGGTGGCACCTACGGGTCAGGATAGTGCACGGAGCCTCCAGGTTGTTCCTCCACCCAGGAACCAGAGGGACATGCTTCCTCTTCCTGGGAGCGGTGCGGGTTTCCTCTGTCCCCAGGAAATGCTGGGGCCGCTTGAGGTCAGCACCACTTAGAGCTTGAACCCTTGTCCCAGGCCTGAGCCCCCTTCTGTGCTCTGAACCCCGTGACCCAAGCCCAGAGCCCACACTCCCAGCTAGGACTTTGCCCCCTCTCATACCCCAAATCCTTGCCCCAGACTGGTGAAAGTGAGCAAGGGTGAGGCAGTGAGTGGGAGGCAGGGCCTCAGAAGGGGTGGGGTCTCGGAGAGAGTGGAGCAACAATGTTTGGTTTTCTGCAATTAAAAAGTTAGCAACCCATGTTCGGTTTCTGATATTGGTATGTTTCTCAGCATAACCTCTTGTAGCAATAGATCAGTGGTGTGCAACCTTTTTTGATCTGCGACCCCTGCACTGTGGGGGCCGTCAACTGCCGGGCCAGCCCCCAGCCTGCCGGATCTAAGCACTGCGACCCTTGGAAGACATCCGGGGGTCGCAACCCATGGGTTGCGCACCACTGCAATAAATGATCTAAAACAGCGTTTCTCAACCAGTGCTATGAGAACCCTTAGGGGTACTCGAGAGAAGAAGAGGAATATGTCAACACAACTGAAATGTGGAGAAAACTTAATTTTTGTTTTAAGTTTTACAGTGCTTTATTATTTTTGTACTTTTTACACCCAAAAATGTCATTGCCCGGCTATGATTAAGTTGTTTAAACAAATGTGTTGCAATGGTAGAAAATTTTTTGTGTGTGTCTGAAAACTGTAGGTGCTGGGGGTACTTTTATAATTTTTTTTTGGGGGCGGGGAAGGGTACTTTATAAAAAAAAGTGCTGAAAAACACTGATCTAAAATAGCAGTGTACTTGCATTAGTGCTTGCGTGGAGTGAGCAGAAATGATGGTCTTCTGAGGCGGGACTCTGGTTCTGCTGGCCCTTTCTATTGAAATGATGGGAAGAATTAATCATCAAGTATGCATTTTGCGTAGCTGCAGTTGTGTACCTTAAGCCTTCCTTCCAGGTTCAGTGTAGATCTGCCCTCAGTCCACTAACAGCTTAGCCCTGCCATATTATCTGTGGGCAGAAGAACCCACATTTCACTTTAGCTGGGTTGTGAGCAGCTGTAAGGATCCACCCATGTGGATCTCTAAGGTGCTACAGGACCATTGTTGTTTTTAAAATTTTGTTAGTTACAGATTAACATGGCTACCTCTCTGAGACTTTCAAAATGGTTATAGTATTACATTCACAACACAACTTTCAATGGCTTTTTAGTCTCAGATATAACTAGAACTAGTACCTATATACATTTTTATATTACCAGATTATTTAATTTACAAAGTACAGCAATGAAGGGAGAACATTAAATCCTTTCTTTTACGAAATTGCAAATATTCCATGGAGTTGCTTCATAGTATCCTACTACAGTTTTCACTTTGTCTATACAGGGCTTTATAGTGTGGCTACTTTACAAAGATACAAGGAATTTAGCGTCTACACTATAGATACAGGCACACATACATTGTCTCATAGATACCGCAAGAGGAAAGTCCAAATCCTGCTTTCACATTAACAAGTACAACTCTCACTGAATTCAGTGTGCTGTGTGCAAGTATCTAAAGTCAATTTGGCTCAATGACTTTAAAGACTTACCAGAAATTATTTCTGATGCAGTAATATTTATAGTATAGATTCTTTAACTATGTAAAGAAATTTCAATGAGGTTCAAGAATAAGGCTCCCTTGGGTCATTAATGGTGCAGGCCAGTGTTTTTCAATTTCAGGCCTGTGGACCCATGTCGTCCACAGACTATGTCCATGAGGGTCTGTAAAAGGTCATTGTTGCCATAGAACAGTGATTTTTCAACTGTGATCTGTGGACAACATGGGGGTCCACAGAGTACATCTAAGATTTCCAAAGGGGTCTGACCTACATTTCAAATTTTTAGAGGTTAACAACAACTCTCTGACTATGGTTATCCAGCCAATTATGCACCCATCTTATTGTGGCCCTATCTAAGTTATATTTGCCTAGTTTATCAATAAGAATATCATGCGAGACCGTATCAAATGCCTTACTAAAGTCTAGGTATATGACATCCACCGCTTCTCCCTTATCCACAAGGCTCGTTATCTTATCAAAGAAAGCTATCAGATTAGTTTGGCATGACTTGTTCTTCACAAACCCATGCTGGCTATTCCCTATCACTTTATTACCTTCCAAGTGTTTGCATAAGAGAAGGATCAGAGCAGGAAGAGCTGCTTGCTCACCCGCCCACCCCTCCCATGGCTTCAAATAGCGCTCTTCTTAGGCTTTGTCTTTGTTTGGACTAAGCTTTGAAGGTGTGTTAGAATGTATTGGCTAATAGGGTCTATCAACAGTCAATTCTAGCCACGACCAAGGCCAGCCTGTTCTTTTCCCTGGATGGAAAAAGGAGATAAGGATCACAGCAGCTCTATAAGAGCAGGTTCTGGAATCAGTGCCAGATTTATGCACAAGCTAAGTCAGCTACAGCTTAAGGCCTCAGATATAATTTGTATCAATGACAAGGTAAGGGAAGGCGCTTGGTCCTGGTTTGCACCGGGTCTGGAGCTACTCTCGCTGCAGCTCTGTGTTTTAAATGTAGCAAAACTTTCCCTCTCTTCTACCCCCCACCCCTGCCTGGGTTCTGCTGTCAGAGTCCA